GGATAAAGGCCAGGCTTCTTGTGACTTGGGATAAGTTTGAAAGGCCATCCCAGCTTTAAAGCTCCCTGTGCGGTCCACTAAGGCCTTTGTCATAACCCAACATCTTCCTCTTCCCAGTCCTACTTCCTTCCATGGGTCATAATCCATGAACACTCCCTTAATAATTTACCTGCACACTAATCTTAGTCTTAGAGTTTGCCTTTCAGGAAACCTAACCTGCAACACCAGACATTGTTCTAGGTTCTTAGATACATTATCTCACATCCTCTCATCAATCTGTTAAAGTAGGATCCTTCTCCCCATTTCACAGATAGGAAAATTGAGGCTCAGAGATATTATGCTAGTATTAAGCAGCAAAGATTGGATTTGAATCCAGGTCTCTCTTCCTTGAAAACATCGGGTATTTCCACTGTACTATGCTCAAGAGGAGGGCACAGAGTCTACAGAGATTTAGAAAGTAGAATTTCTAGAACCTATTTGATGGCGTACCTCATATGGGTGGCAAGGCAGAAAGTGATGATGGTTGGGAGGCTTGCTTCTTCTTCTCATATGTGTCCCCGCCTCTCTCCACCACTATTCGACTTGCAGTGTTTAAGAGTGTATTCATGAGAATGTTCTTACATATTAGATGTCTTAAATGTTAAGGCAGGTAAGATGTGTCTAACAGTATTCCAAAGCCCTAGAATCAGAGGGCAGTCTAGCCTGTGAGCTCTTCAGAGGACAGAAACGATGCCTTTCATTCTGCCTCCTTCCCAATTTCCATCCCCCAAGCCTAGTACAGGCTTAATAGCTAGCAAGTGCTGGAGAGACAGAAAAAAGGAGGCATTCAAACAGATTTAAAATAAGCTCCCCTCAGCAGAGGTTTGGAACCAGCAGGTATTTTTAACATCATCTATTGACTGCCTATATTCTCCAAAGGAGCCCTGGTGGCACAGTGGTTAAGCCCTCTGCTCCTAACTGAAAGGTCACTGGTTCAGATGGAGAAAGATGTGGCAGTCTGTTTCCATAAAGATTTACAGCCTTGGAAGCACTATGGGGCTGTTCTACTCTGTCCTGTAGGGTCGCTATGAGTCAGAATCAACTCGACAATGGGTTTGTTTTGTTTATATTCTCCATATGTGTCCATGGACAGCCCTTGTACAGTTCTTGAACACCCATCTTTCCTTTTAGAATCATCTGGAAATACCCTGCATTTTCCTTGTGGTAGGCAGAATGGTCTCTCAAATATGTTCACGCCCTAACCCCTGAAACCTGTGAACATGTTATGTTACATAGCAAAAAGACTTTGCAGATATAATTAAGGTTATGGATCTCAAGATAGTAAATCCTGGGTTATCTGAGTGGGACCAATCAAATAGCAGAGTCAGAAAGATGCAGCCGCAGAAGTCAGAGAGATTCAAAGTGTGAGAGGGAGTTGACCAGCCATTGTTGGAGGAGACCACATGCTAGCATGAAAAGGAATGCGGGCGGCCTCTAGAAGCAAAGGCTGCACCCCCACCCTCAAGCTGACAGCCAGCAAGGAAAGAGGGACTTCAGCTCTACAACTGCCAGGAACTGAATTAGGCCAACAACCTGACTGAGCTGGAAAACGGATTTTTTTCTCAGAGCCTCCAGTAAGGAATGGAGCCTTACCAGGACCTTATCTTCAGCCCATGAGACTTTAAACAGAGGACCCAGCTGGGCCTACCTAGACTTCTGACATACAGAAATTGTGAGATAATAAATGTGTATCATTTTAAGTCGCTAAGTTTGTGGTAATTTGTTACGCAGAAGTAATAAATGAATACACCATTTGTCAAGTAGTCTAGAGTAATCAGTTCTCAAAGCGGGGTCCCCACAGCTCCCTGAGACCCTTTCTGGGGGTCTTTGAGGTAAAAAGTATTCATAATTATGCTATGATGTTATTGGCGTTTTCACTGCACTGACATTTGCACTGATGGTGCGGAAGTAATGGTGGGTAAGACTGCTGAGTCTCAGCGCATGTCGAGGCAGCAACACTAAACTGTATGAGTGGTTATTGTATTCGTCACTCCTAAGCACTTGCAGAGGAGTCTGTGGGTGATGCAAACAGTTAACATGCTCAGCTGCTAACTGAAATGTTGGAGGTTGGAGTCCACCCAGAGGTGTCTTGAAAGAAAGGCCTGGTGATCTACTTCTGAAAAATCAGCCACTGAAAACCCATTGAGCACAGTTTTACTCTGACACACATGGGATCGTCATGAGTTGGAATCAATTCTACGGCAACTAGGTTAAGCATTTGCAGCAAAGAACATGCCATTTCACTTGAGAATGTCCTTGATAGAGCAGAAAAATTATTAATTTTATTACTAAGTCTTGACCTTCGAGTACATATGCTGGATGACAGATGTACCCATAAAGTGCCCCGGCAGCATTCCAACACAAGATGACTGCCTCTAGGAAAAGTACTTGTGCGATTGTGTCGTGAGCTGAACTAGCTGCTTTCTTCATAGGACACTGTTTTCACTGGGGAAAAAAAGACTGATAAACAAGTTATTTAGACTTGATTATTTGGGAGACATTTTCTTGAAAATGAATGAAGCGATCCTGTCACTTCAAGAAAAACAACTGACAGTATTCATTGCCAATGACAAAATTTGAGCTTTCCAGAAAGATTAGAATTTTTGAAAACCTGTATCTGCCTCCATAAGCTCAACAGATTCTCAATGCTTAAAGACTTCTGATGAGATCAGTAGAAATATTATACAACAATCAAACACATAAATTTTTTGATACTATAAAATAAAATGTGTGAACATTTGGGAGATCTGAATAACTGAGTAGATCAATATTTTCCAAATGACCAAGGTATCATATTACAAAGTCATATATGGATAAAAGAGCCATTTAAAATACAAGGAAAGGCTTATTGATATTATTTCAGATTCTACATTGCGATTAACTGTTAAAACAATACTACTTGTCCAGTTTTGATGTCATAAAAAGAATAAAAATACTCTTCCCTTTCCCAACTGCATATCCATGTGATTCTCTTCATGTACGTCAAGTACTTCGACCAAAACATCATTTCAAACAGATTGAATGCAGAGGCAGTTAATCAATGAAAACACAGCTGCCTTTTATTAAGCAAGACATTTAAGAGATATGAAGAAATGTAAAACAACGCTGTTCTTATCACTATTTGTAATTTTTGAAAATCCAATTTTTTAATAAAAAATTTTGTTAGTATGTAATAGTTCATTATCTTTTTAAATAAATTAATGAATATATTGAATTTCTCAGTTTCAATTTTTAATTCAGCAAATATTGATAGCTATAAATTGCAGAAACAAAATCTCTCTGGGGTCCTCCATAATTTTAAAGATTGTGTATTATCTATGGAGGGCAGGCCATGTGTTGATACAACTCAGTGGTTCCAAATTTGCACACCAGAGCCAAATTAAGTCCTAGGTAATTTTTGTGTGGTTCATACAGTTTGACCATTGTTATATAAAACAATTATTGACTTTCAAATGAGCTCTCAATATTTACAAATTGGTAGGTTTTATGGAAAATAACTAGATTTTCCGATTCTCTAGAAACACTGGATCAACTGGATCAACTGGCTGCACTGGGTCCACACTCTTGCGCGGCCTCTAGAGCTGTGGTGTAGTTGCTCTCTTCTGGAAACATGCTTTCCAGTTGTCCTCTATCCTTACCACTTTCCACTCTCTGTGTCCCTGTTAAAACCTGTGCCTCCTCCTCCATCATTCATGTGGCTTGCTCAGCTCCTGGAACCATCTGCATTTGTAATGTCTGACCTACATCATCTCCTTGGCGTCAAGAGGTTGAGAAGACCTGGATATAGCCTGAGCATCTTCACTGCTCACAAAGGGATGTTGTACATCACAAAATGCCAAGAGCCTATAAGAAGGTGAGATCACCAGATGAGATTTTTTTTTTTCTGACATAGGGGCAAAGGTCATGTTTTAAGTCTCACTAGTCTCATATCTCCTAGTAATTTTCTGCTTACTATGGCAAGTAGAGCATTATAGTGCCAGGAGGGTAGCTGACATGGGGATTTTACCATGAGTGTGGACTCAGGAGCCAGAGTGTCCGTGTTCAAATACTGCCTCTACCCTTTGATACATGTATGACTTTTGGCAAGCTACCTAACCTCTCTGTGTCTCAATTCCCTAATCTGCAAAATGAAACTGATAATAATACTTACAGGACTGTTGGGAGGATTAAATGAGATAGTACTTACACTCTGTCATTTAATAAGATAGTGCCTACACTTAGAACAGTGGCTGGCACACAGTAAGCCGTGAACAGCCATCAACAATTGTTAGTTATTTTTATCATTCTTTGAGCTGGGCTTGAGTATTACTATGAAAAAAGCAGTAAACTGTCTGAAGGTTCTGCCAGGCAAACCGGACTGTGTCCTAACCACACCATCCCACAGATTCCAGGGTTCTTGACATGAGAATAGTAGATCCCAACAGATATTTGAGAATGACGTAGTGTAATATCATTTTGATTGACAGCCACAGGCCCTTACCCTTCCTGTTAAATCTACAATGGATTTGAGATTGATAGAGGGCAGATAACAAGTCCATTTATTCACTTCGGGTTAGAAACAAGCACCTGCAATTTCTGTAGCAGGTTGTTGCTAGGTGCCGTTGAGTCGATTTCGACTCAACAGCCTCATGTGACAGAGTAGAACTGCCTCATAGGGTTTCTTAGGCTGTAATCTTTAAGGGAGCAGGTTGCCAGGTCTTTCTTCCAAGGAGCCGATGCGTGGGTTGAAACCATCAACCTTTCAATTAGCAGTCAAGTACTTAACCGTTGCGCCACTGGGGCTTCTTTCTGTAGTATAGGGCCTAAATATTTTAATTCCTTGTTTGTTAAAAGCAGTGGTCCATATGTTTCAATTGGACTGTGACAGAGCTATTCCTAAATCTGAGGCCAGGTCACCTACATGAAATGAATCACTGTTAGGAAATTGTCTTGAAAAGAGAAACAAGACCACGACTCTTAGAAAAAATTCTGTAAGTACCCAATTTATTCAGAAAACAATACAGTTTAAATATTTATGATTTTTTTTCAGTCGTACATTTTTACCATCATTCCCAAAATGTTGTGCATTTGGCTGACATGTATTTGCAAAGTTAGGATCTATAATTATAACTCTGGAAATCATACAAGGCATTTGATTTGCTTGTTCAAACCCACCCCCTCCCAACAAACAAACATACAGGTCTATTATGCCTTGTAATTTACTTCCAATCTTTCTGACCAAAAATAAGTTCCCCCTTGTGCTTTTTATGCTTGCGAAACATTTGTCCTTTTCTCTGTGAGAAGATTATGTAAGTGAAACATTCATTCTTCTGATTCAAGACTGGCCAACTTACATCAAAATAAAACACCTCCACCCAGAACAGTGGCTTCAGGTATTTCTGCTGATCTACTCTGCTCTCAGGAGCGACAAAAAGAGGCAAAATGAAACCCCATACTAACCTCAAAGATTGACTTTGTGGACCAGGTTTCTGATGAGCCATTTTGCATAGCCATTTGCTGTAGACATTGTTGTGGTTCCAACGAAGACAGTTTCAGGTCATTCCTAGGGACCGACATAAAGATGGAACCAACCATGCAGCATCGAGTGATGTCTCCTTGCAGAGCACAGGGGCTGGCTGTTGAAGGAAGAGGTGTGACTATAAAGCAGTGAGACTGATTTGGGGTGTGCAGCTTCTGGAATCAGTCTCATTGCTTTCTATTCCCACCTCCAAGACAGGCGGGACTTTTGCGCTACCAGTAGGGATGAGGTGCCATTCTCAAGCAGACTAGAAGCTGCCCTGTTTCAGGTAGTCTCTGTAATCACACCCAAAAGTCTAGCACCTCACTACTCTCAGTGTGATCCAATGAATGCATTGGTATCACCTGGGAGCTTGTTAGAGCTGCAGAATCTCAGGCCCTATGCAGACCTGCTGCATCAGCATCTGAATTTTAACACGATCTTCAGGTGAGTTGTGTGCACGGTAAAGTTTGAGGAGCACTTCAAGATACACTTCAAGAAGACTACCCCTATGTTAGTAAATCTCTTCAGTATAGAGACCATTCTCAGCAGGGAGGGATCATAGATAACAGCTGCAAAAACAGTGTGGGTTTTTGTTTTTTTATTTGAAACATGCAAAATACAGTCCATGCATCTGCCATTTTGAAAAGTCTTTTATCCTGTAGCAGATAAAACCAAATATGTTTTGGCTATCGACATTCAATAAATGTTTCAAAATGCTTTACAGTGTAAAGATAATAAGAAATTTAGCAAAATTTCAACAAACCTGTATAAAAAATGGATACAGATACCAGTTTATTTCAAGGTGACATGCTGTACTGTAAAGAGTAAGATATTGTTATTTGTGTTTCTGTGCAAAAAGTCTTTAACAATACAACAGCTTAACAGATCCAGGCCTTGGGGCTACACATGCAAAAAAATCATCAGTTAGTTAAAAATCACCAAAACGTGCTATTTTTAAATGTGTATGTGTTGCTTTTTTAAGTACAGGAGTAGTAGAAGTATTAAATATTATAAGGAATAGTATTTCGGAACTCTGTAAAAGTGTGTGGAGTTCATGGTGCTAGTGTCCTGGAAGACTCGTACATTTCCGATGAACATTTTGGTTTAATCCCTTTGCCATTGTAATAGTCCACGACTTGGTTTGGGACTTCTGCCAACACGCTCTTTGCCAGGGCTGCAGGAGATGCCTGCAGGAAAGAAGAAACCACCATGACTATAGCACTTGGCCAAAGGAATCTGATTCAGACTCAGTCTGAAAGACTAGAGTCCTGCTCTGAGCAGCTAGTCTCATTCATTCATTCATTCCCTCACTCATTCAGTGTTTGTTAAGGGTCTACTCTAAGCAAGAATGGTCTGGTTGTTGGAAAATGAGCCTTTAATTTAATAATTATATTTTTCATGTCTGTCTTAAGACATAACAACTATTCACGTCTGAAGGTGGATAGGAACTGGTTGGCAAAATGAATTGTTTTGCTTCTGATTTGCATTCAATTTCAGACACTTATTTATATTCCAGGCACTGTACTAGGGTATGTGGGGTCTATGGTTCTTGCCATCAGGGAGATTTAATCATGTGAAGGGAGTCTGACATGGCCAAAATTAATCTCAACACAAGGTAGAACACAATACATGCTATGGACTAGCAGCATCACTTCACGTGACCCATCCCAGAGCTACTGAAATCAGATATTCACTTTTAACAAGATGTTCTGGTGATTCGTATGCATATTGAAATTTGAGAAGCACTGCTCTAGATAGCCTCAAACACTGTGTGACCCAAGCATAGGAAAGAAAGAATAAGGCATCTTGGAGTAAATTAGACCAGGCTTCCAAGAGGAGGCAGCATTTGAGCTGGGCATGGTTTAAAAACCTAGAGAAAGAAAGGAAACCAAAGTCTCAGAGAAGAAACTAGTCTGCAGAGCTAATAGCCTATGTGAACCATGGCCTCATCTACACTGAGAGCAGAAGAGCTAGATGTTGCCTGACTACCACTACCTACCCTTCTGATCACGGCTGCAATAAATGGACCCTGATGGAATGGGAGAAAAAGGTGGAACAGAACTTAAATTCTTAAAAAGTACAGACTTACTGGACCAATTGAGTCTAGAGTACTCTCTGAGACTGTTGCCCTTGGATACGCTTTAAATCTTGAACTGAAACGTCCCCTGAGGTCACCTTTTAGCAAAATAACAGATTAACACACAAAATAAAGACTATTATCCATCAGTACGGAGCTCCATTAAGGAAACATCAATAAGGGATCGAAAGGTCAGCAATTACTCTTATGCAAAGATGAGAAGATAAGGGGGCAGGGAAACTAGAGTACTGGAAACAAAACAACCAGAATGCAATGAAAAATGTAACTAATGTCACTGAGCAATGTGAGTAGAAATTGTCAAATGGGAACCTAATTTGCTGTGTAAACTTTCACAGAAAACACAATAAAATATTATTTTAAAAAAACATAAAACAAAAAAACAGACATAGAGGAGAATGGCATTTGATCATTCTAGGGACAGTGAGTCATCTAATGGGGCAGGGGTGTGTGTGTGTGTGTGTGTGTGTGTGTGTGTGTGTGTGTGTGTGTGTGTGTGTGCGCGCGCGTGTGTGTGTGCGCGCGCACGCGCGCGCGTGCTGGGGATGCAGAATTAGTGGAACATTCAATTGAGGCCAGGTGGTAGAAAACCTTGAATACCATGCTCATGAACTTAGCCTTTATTTTATCAGCATTATTGATCCACTATATGTTTTGGGGGCAGGGAAGAACAGGACCATGTGATTTATTTATTTTAGGACCATATGATTTATGGTGGTGACTGCTGCAGAGGAGAATTGAGGGTGATATCATGCCTGGATTCTGGAGTCATGCAGAGCTGGGTTTGACTCCTGGCTTTGGCATGTAGGACTACCTGAATGATTCCTGGGCAGGTAACTTCAACAGTCGGAGTCTCATTATAGCTATTAAAGACGAGGTTGAAATCCTAAGGCAGAGTGATCAGTTAACATGTGTTTGAGACCTCTCAGGAACGATCCCAGAGGAAATAGGTCTTGACTAAATGCCTGGTTTCTACTTCTTTCCTTCCCAGGTGGCTTGCCACTCAGCCCTTCAACTTTGTTAAGCCCCAGTGTTCTGATGGGTAACACAGGGAAGAATAATAACCCATTCTATCTCAGAGAATTTTTAGGAGGCTCAAAATGAGACGTACATTTTTTTTTGACATACATTTTTAAAAACAATCTGAAAACACTGTGAAGAGTTTTTGTGAAGTGATGTCTTACATTTTGAAGATGTCATAGCATGTTGGATATTTGACATCCAAGGATGCTCTTGGACTTTGTAATTAACTGCTCAGGACCGTGTTAGACCATGGTCTGTGTGTACGCTGTGGCAGACAGAAAAGTTAGCCCCACCCTTTCTCCCTGGCCATCTCTCATAGAAAGGTCAGACAGCCAAATACTTGATTTCTCAGCTTCCTTTGCATCTGGGGTGGCCATGTAACCCCCTTTGCCCTATGAGACATAAATGGAAGTTTCCTGGGGAATATTCTCGGAATGCTTTTCTTTCCTGGTAATGGGGGACAGACACGGCTTTGTTTCCCTTTCCTCTTTCCTTCTCCTTTGAATGGGAACGTGATGCCCAAAGCTATAGCAGCCATCTTATTATCATGAGGGAACGGCAAAGGGAATCATAAAGTGCTGGCTTGACACTGTTGAATCACTGGGGGAAAAAGGCCAGTGGCCGCCAGCTCCTAACTTCTAGTTACATGAGAAAAATATGTTCCTATTTATGTAGTCCAGGATTTCTCAACCTTAGCACTATTGACCTTTAGGGCCAGAAAATTCTTTGTGTGGGGATTGCCCTGTGTATTGTATGATGTTTAGTGGCATTCCTGGCCTCTACCTATTAGATGGGGAGAGCAACTCTTCAGTTGTAACCATCAAAAATGTCCCCAGGCATTGCCAGATGTCCTCTGGGAGAAAAATTGCTCCTAGCTTAGAACCACTCATGTAATCCACTGTAAAATGAGTTTGTTGTTACTTACAGCCAAAAAATATCCTAACTAGTGTTGTCCAATAGGACATGAAAATATTCTATGTCTTCACTGTCCAATACGGTAAGTTATCAGCCACATGCAATTATTGAGCCCTTGAGTTATAGCTAGTGTGATGGAGGAACTGAATTTTTAATTTTATTCAGTTTTAAATAATTTAAATTTAAATAGCCACATGAGGCTAGTGGCTATCATCATGGACAGTTCCTGAGTGATTCTCCCAGCCCCTCGCATATCTGTGCTAGTGGCTGTGGTGAGCAAAGATGGCTTGTGGGGGCGTTCATTGGTTGGGAAAAGGCCAAAAAATTAGAAAGCAGCTGGTTATAACAGTAATAATAGCTACATTTATTAACCACCTACATGAACTGAGCACTGCGCTAAGCTTTATGTAGACACCACTTTTAATCCACTGATGTATGTATCATGAGCCTCATTTTACAGATGGAAGTCTGTGGCACAGAGAGGTTAAAAACTTGCTCAGAGACACATAGCTCGGAGCCTGTGTCCTGTCCGCTTCAAAGCTCTGAGTTAGGAAAGCTCTGAGTTTCTGCAGAGTAGAAAAAGAAGAGGTAATTCATGGGTTACGGGATCATACGAAATGGTATCAGCCCCTCACTTTCCCTTTTTGATTTGTTGTTTATTGAATTCAGAGTAGATTAGTTTGGATAATGAAATGGTTTTCAAAATCTAATTTGAAATCCATGAAGATAACGTGCGTGAATATGCTCCTGGCCTTAGTCATCCACAGAGCAGCTGGAGACCCTGTGGAGCGTAGAAACTCAACTGGTCCTGTTCATGACCCTCCCCTGTTGCCGATGACCCTCAACACCCTGCTCACCAAGGCTCTGTCCTGTCTGTAACCCCCAGCTCAAGCTGTAAAGCTTTCCATGGCCACTTCTCTCTGCTCTGAAATCCTGTAGGAATACTTCAGCTCTTCTCAACCACCCACAAGTTGCTTAGCATGATTTTTCTGATACCTTTGTCCCAACTATGAATCCTGGACAAAAGTCTTTATAATCTCACTGTGGTCCCAGTGCCTAGCATGTGCCTTGCACACAGCAGGTACTTCGAGAATGTCTGGGGATGAGGAAGAGGCCTGAGATAGATGCTGGAGCCTTGCTAGGCTTAGTGACACTGCTTTAGCACACATGAATGTGTGTGTGTGTGTGTGAGTGTGAGTGTGACTGTGAGTGTGTGTGTGTGTGCGTGTGTGTATGATAGGGTTGGAAGGGATGGTTTGGACAGTTTATGACTTTCCTGGGGAGTGAGCTCTTTTGACGCCTCTTCACCCAGGCAAAGTTATGGGTGGTGGTGAGTGATATGGTTACCTCTTCTGTCTCACTGACACTGGAGATTTATCTGAATGCTCACTTTAAAGCCTGTCCCAAGAAGGTGGCAGAACAAACAGCACCTTACAATTTATGCCTAAGCCTATGACACTAGGGCTGCTGCTTGCCTGTAATAAATAATGATCCATCCATCCTTCTACTCCTGTGCTAACCTTCCCCAGTGTAGTTGGGGTCCCAGCTTGAGCCCAAACTGGGGTTCAGGTGTGATAAACTGGCTGTGAAGAGTGTCAGGAATTAATCTGAATGAGGGTTTTTGGCTGGAAGAGAAAGGCTTTTCCAAATAAGCATCAAGAGGAAAGGGCTTGGGGTAGACAGCCTGGTGCCTGCCCCTTCCTCTCCCTTAGCTGAGTCCCGTGGAGGGAGGGGTTGCAGGGGAAGCCAAAAAAAGATGTTTCCAGCAGGAATCCTTTGAGATGTGGGAACACAGACTTCACTGCATTACTGGCCAGGTCATGGAGGGGACTCACAGCATGGAAGGGTGGAGATTCTCTCTATTTCCAAGGGGACTGCAGAGCAGCTTCAGTGCACTGAGGGCTCTGGAGGTTCCCTTCTGTTGGGGCAGCTCACATTTAGTTAGCAGCCACTGGGAGTGGAATTGTTGGCACTAACAGTAGTGCTGAGGCAAGGCCTCGGTGGATAGCTGGGGCCATGTGAATGCTCCACTCTTGAGCTACTTCCACGAGGGACACTGTTATGGACTGAATTGTGTCCTCTAAAATATGTGTTGAGGTCATGACCGTTGTGCCTATGAATGTGGTCCTGTTTGGAAATAGGGCTTTTCTTTCGTTACGTTAATAAGGTCATACCAGAGCAGGGTGGGTCCTAAACCTAATCACTCCTGAATGGTGTCTTATTAAGGGAGCAGAACAGACATGGAGAGACCTACACACAGGGAGAAGACAGATGCCATGTGAGGGTCTGTCTTCTACAAGCCAAGGAATGCCAAGGAATGACTGACAGCTACTAGGAGCTGAAAGAGATAAAGAAGGACATTTCTCTAAAGCCTATCCCCTGAATTCAGACTTCTAACCTCAGAGCTGTGAGGAAATAAATTTCTGTTCTTTAAAGCCAGCCACTTGTGATATTTTTGTTATGGCAGCACTAACAAATTAAGACAGGCATGGAACAGAAAACATGGAGGACAGTCTGTGACTGCCCACGTTATCCCCAGGGACTCCCATACACACAGGAATGTGACTCTGAAGTGTACTTCCGGGCCACCACTAGTTCATATGGAGCATTTGTACAAATTAGAAAAGGTGCCTTATATGTGCATGGTGTTGTGGAAATTTTAAAGATGCCCCTTTCTTTGTGGAGTTAATGAGTATCCAAAATTTGGAAATGTGGAAAAATTATTACTGAGTACCTTTCCAATGTCATACTAGAGCATTGTCTAATGGGTCTGCTTTAGGAACATCAGGGGACTATAACATTGCTAGACTTACTATTTATCATTAATCAGAGACCAAGTCTATAAAGTTAGATGTTAACTCATAGAAAATTGATAAGATGCAAATCATTTCTGTCCAATAGAGAAGGTACTCCAAAGATTATGGTTTTTAAACTCTGTTCGTCATTAATCAGCTTTCTAACCAACCTTAGCAAACTTACTCCACCATTTCCCCCCACTGACTATATTCTCTGTCTCATATCTTCCTTTCAACCAACTTTATCATCCTGCTAACTCCTTCATTAATGAGTTAAATAAATCTTTGATGCTACTGCTATATATTTACAGGGGATCTAGGTTTTTAACATTTTGAAAATATACTTTGCCAAGGCAAACACAAACATGGCCTGACGAGCGGGATGCAGGCTGCATTTCAGCTTCTCCTTGCTTCTTCCACCAGGCACCCTTAGGCAAGGAACCCTGGGGCACTAGAGATCCTGTATCTGGAAGAGGGCAAGCGCCAGTGAAACGCTGGCTTTCATAGTTAGCATGACTCCTTATCTGTAACTCAGTTTACACTTCCTTCTCCAAAGAATCAGCTCTATATATCCTTACTGTGGGAGATGGCCTGGCCAGGCAAGGATAGCTGGTTTTGCTTCAAGATGGCAGATTACTACAAACACTGGCAGAAAAATGTGGGAGATGGGCATGTTCTGGTTCTGTTCACCCATGGGAAGCCCCCAAGATGTGCATACGTGTTTGAAGTTCCTGAAGGGCACGAACTGGACAATGTCTCGAAGGACAGGTTCTCCCTTGGGTGATCTCAGGATCCCGTCATCACCGTCCAGCATCTGCATGTCACTGAAGTCGGCGTTCCCTACTCCCACAATGATGACTGACATGGGGAGGTGGGAGGCATGGACGATGGCCTCTCGGGTGTCAGCCATGTCTGTGATGACACCATCTGTCAGGATCAGCAGGATGAAGTATTGCTGTGGTCAGACATCAGCAGACATTGGGGGATGGAGAGGTGGGAAGACAAAGACAACATCAGTTAGACATCTGCTTCACTGTGTATCGACTACAGCAACCAGGATGATACCTGTGCTAACAGCCTTAAAGGCTTAAGGATATGGTGAATGGAGTTTAAAGGCAGATCCTGTAATTATAGCGTAATTATAATAGCCACTTTAGTAACAGTTACAAAGCACAGCGTGGTAGAAAGAGTAGCAGATGGGGACTCAAGAGGACTCGGTTCAAACCTCGTGCTGGGAAGTCCTGGGAAAAAATTTTCACTTCTCTGGGTCTCAGCATCTTCATTTCTCAAATGAGGTGTGGGACTAAGATCATCTACACGGTCTTCTTCAGCTTTAAGATTTTTAAGTCTAAAACTCTGTTGTCCAATACAATAGCCACTAGCCCCATATGACTATTGAGCCCTTGAAATGTGGCCAGTGCAACTTAGGAACTAAATTTTTAATATTATTTAATTTTAATGAACTTAAATTTAACTTCAAAAATGGTTACCAGTTCACTTATTGGAAACTTTTTAAGAATGTCTGGAACAACTTAAGGACCTGAATCTATTTTTCAACTACAAATTTATAAACTCTAAATAAGGATCAAATATTTTTGGTGATAATTTAGCATCAAATTGAGATGCTGTAGGTATAAAATACACACCAGATTTTGAAGACTTAGTACAAAGAAAAGGATATAAAATATTTCATTAATAATTTTTTATATGGAGTACATGTTAAAATGAGAATATTTTGGCTACACTGAGTGACCTGGCCAATGCGCCTTAAGCTCAGCCATCACCCATCTGTCAGTGGAGGTTTGTGTGTTGCTATGATGCTAAACATGTTTCAGCGGACCTTCCAGACTAAGACGGACTAGGAAGAAAGGTCTGACGATCTACTTCCAAAAAATCAGCCAATGAAAACCGTATGGATCACAATGGTCTGATTCACAACTGATGGCTCAGGACTGGGCAGCATTGCATTCTGTTGCCATGACCTGGGGGCTGACTTGATGGAAGCTAACAACAACAACATTAGAGAATTTAAAATTAAGTACGTGACTTGAATTTTATTTCTATTGGACAGCACCAGTCCAAAACCTGACTAGAGAGTGTCAGGGTTGCTGTCTCTCTCTCTGAGGCACATATGCCAAGCCCTTGCTTGTATGTGCTTGGAGGTGGCGGCCCCACTCCATGCACACAGGCAGAAGGCTGCCGTGCTCCTGTGGCTTCCTACTCTCAGTCCTGGCTCCTGCCCTACAACCTGTCTGGTCCCCTCCCACCTAGACAGACGGGCAGGTGGCTCATGTGAGATGGAGACTGGAGGAAAGGCTCTGATTCTTCACCACAGGGAAGGCTTGGACGGGCTTTGGGGTCTGAAGAAGGAGGGAAAAGGCAGGTCATCACTGCTGTCCATCATCGTCAGAGGCACCGTGAAAACCTCTTCAGGTGAGAGGGGAGGGATGTGGCTCACTGTGAGGCAGCTCATGCCAAAAACCCTAAAACTGAAAAGAACTTCCAATATAATCTCTGCAACATGCTCAAAACTTACAGGGAGTGAATGTTGGAAAATTAAACCATTCCAAGTTGCCATATTTCAAACAAGAAAAGCTGGATAGACTAACTACATTTTGAAAACATCTGGTTTGGAAAATAATCTACTTAAAAGGTTGCAAACAGGCTGGCAGCACTAGAGAGTTACTTCATTTCTCTGTAAGCCTGAAAAAATGTTTTTATACAAAATGACTCAGTCAAAAATATAACTGGAGATACCTACAATTCACACCATGATGAAGACAGCTCTGAACACTTCCCATACAGTTTTATAGACAGACTAATTCTGTTCCATGTCCATTAACTAACCTCCCACTCCTACTCCTAGCTGAGCACCCAAGTTGCAAATTCTTTTGAGTTATAAATTTTCATCTATAGCCGTGCTTTTTCATCTTACATGTTCACAGGAAGGTGGTGTGGGAATTTAGAAGAAGGTTTCGGGAGGATGAAGTGATGGAGGAGTGTGGGAGGCACAGAGAGAAGGGGCATCTTGGCAGTTTGGAGATGGAGGGAAGGGGCATAGAATACACCAGAATCATGAATCACCATTACCAGGGTTCTCCTTAGAAGGCCAGGACAGATGCCACACCTGGGAGGAGATTGCTTCTGATTCATAAGTAAGTGGGCCCTTGAATTGGATCACACCTCTGGGTCTTCTGCCTCCTCTCTCCGTCCTCCCCAAACTCTTGTCTGATCTGATCTTTATAGGTCAAGGGATGGATCTTTCCTATCTTAAGGAATGAAAAATCCGACTGTTACACCACCACATGGAGAAACTTTAGAGTTATAACGTTCTAGAGCAGGGGTTGGGGAAATACTTTCTATAAAGGGCCAGATAGTAAATATTTTAGGCTTTGTGGGCCATAATAGCTTCAGTCACAATGACTCAACTCTGCTGTTGTAGCATGCAAATAGCCATAGACAATACATAAATGGAAGAGCATGCCTGTAGTCCAATAAAACTTTATTTAAGGACACTGAAATGTGAGTATCATGTAATTTTCATGTGCCATCAAATATTCTTCTTTTTTAAATTTTTTTCAACCATTGAAAAAAATGTAAAAATCATTCTTAACTTCTTGTTGTTGCTGTTAGGTGCTGTGGAGTCGATTCTGTGTACAATAGAACGAAACACTGCCTGGTCCTGCACCATCCTCACAATCGTTGCTATGCTGGAGCCCATTGTTGCAGCCACTGTGTCAATTCATCTGACTGAGGGTCTTCCTCTTTTTCGCTGACCTTCTTCTTTACAAGCATGATGTACTTCTCCAGGGACTGATCTCTCCTGCTATCATGTCCAATGTATGTGAGACAAAGTCTCACCATCCTCGCTTCTAAGTAGCATTCTGGCTGTACTTTTCCCAAGACAGATTTGTTTTTCTTTTGACAGTCCATGGTAGGTTCAATATTCTTCACCAACACCATAATTCAAAGGTGTCAATTCTTCTTTGGTCTTTCTTATTCATTGTCCAGCTTTTGCATGCATATGAGGTGATTGAAAACACCATGGCTTGGGTCAGGCCTGCCTTAGTCTTCAAGGTGATATCTTTGCTTTTTAACATTTTAAAGAGGTCTTTTGCAGCAGATCTGCCCAATGCAATGCATTGTTTGATTTCTTGACTGCTGCTTCCATGGGACTTGATTGTGGCTCCAAGGAAAATGAAATCCTTGACAACTTCAATCTTTTCCCCATTTATCATGATGCTACTTATTGGTCCAGTTGTGAGGATTTTTATTTTATGTTGAGAAGTAATCCATACTGAAGGCTGTAGTTTGATCTTAACTTGTAGGTCATTCAAAAACAGGTGGTGAGCCATAATTTGTTGACCTACAAACTACATGGGTCAAACTAAGAACTAAGATCTAAGTTTTTAGCCTGGATCTATAGATCGTTGAAAGATTCTGGGCAATTTGTGAACCTGGGGTGAATTGTATTTTTATTTTCACTAGCCTCTAACTGAAATTTATTATTTTCTTCAGTTATAAATATAATTAACAAATCAAATTCGTACTAACTGTACTTGTGATTTAGTCGTCAATAGAAATCACAGAGAGTTTCCTGTTATATTTACAGTGGCTGCAAATACCTGAAGGTATAATTTACAGTCAACGCTATGTCAAAATTACAGAATTATTAGACTAGCTACTGCTTCTCATAATTTATTGTTAACAAAGTAGCATTTTATTACTATATTTGTGCTATTTCTGTCACATTTAAAGTATTTTGTTAAATGAATTTCAATATAATTGGTTTACTTTATGATTTTATGTATTTTCGTTTGTGCATTTAAAAGCACTATTCTGAGAAAGGGTCTATGGGCTTCACCAGCTACTAAAGGGTCCATGGAACAAAATAGGTTAACAATCTCTGGTCTGGGGAGATTGTCAGGATTATAGAATCTGATTCTCCAAGTTTAATCTAGCTAGGGTGCAGACTGTTGGACTGAAAACCTTGATGGAAATTTCCAATAAAGCTAGTGGTAAGAGTCCCTTCCAAAGTCAGGCTGGGAAAATGCTCTCAGATGAACTATTACAGCCTTGGAATATACTTAAGGTCCTGTTTAGATAAGGAGAAGCTTTTTTTTTTTTTCCCCCAGAAGAGTATCACAAAATAAAAGAGAAAATCCTAAAGCCCCAGACTCTCTGGCCCTAGTTTGTCTAAGAGATTCAAGGAGATCAGGACCCTTAGCAATTGGTGATACAAGGGACCTTGGACCAAAGACTGTTCAAAGAACAGAAAAAACTTCTGGGGAGAAGTGTCAGTGTTCCTGGCCTATAGGAGTAATTTATTTGGGGACCTGTGAGAGTGGATGTTTCCTGCGTTTGGTGCCATTTCCTAACCTGTCACCGCCAAAAATCTCATGAGTCACCGCCAAAAAACTCATGCTGGTTTATACAGGTCCCAAATTCAGACTTATGCCAGCTCTGTTCTTTTCTTACTCATTTGGGTCTTAGTACCTCAGAGGGACTGACATCACCCAGTTTTCAAATTGGGCTCCACAGAACCTTAGGGGTGCCTTGGATGTTCTCAGGGATTTAGCAAGAATAGTCTTTCTCTTTTCAAATCTATTTTATATATTGATTTTCTGAGCAAGGTATCATTTGACGAATAGATTCCAGTGCTAAAAAAAAGTTGAAAAATAAATTGAAATATCCATCCTGTCCAAACTTTATCCCTGAATCTTGCATCTGTGAGGATTCAAATTTGCCCCAAGGTCTCTGTGGTCAGAGGGAGAAATATTAGAGGAAACTTTGTAGGGCCCATGGACCAGTGGAGAGATGTTGGTTTGTAGTGCTGGGAAGTGTTCGTGGTTTTGCAAGAGGAAAGGGAAAGTGGCCAGAGGAGGCATGGTTTTCTCAGCTCCTACATCCAGAGGAGGCTTGTCCTACATCAAGCCCCCAGCATCTCTGCTGGACAGGATCCCAGCTTAGAGTGGCTCTATTCAGCTTTAAGGAGCCTTGGTGGCGCAGTGGTTAAGCACTACGGCTGTTAACCGAAAGGTTGGCAGTTCGAATCCACCAGCCACTCCTTGGAAACCCTAGGGGGCAATTCTATTCTGTCCTATAGGGTCTCTATGAGTCAGAATCGACTTGACGGCAACAGGTTTTTTGTTGTTTTTTTTTTTTGTTTTTGGTCGGGGGTGGGTATTCAGCTTAAAGGCCAACACGTCCATAGCTGATCCCTACCCTGAGCATGTTTTCCGGGGAAACATCCTCAGCTCCCTAGGGGTCAGCAATGGATTGTGTGAGGTCTCCAAGTCTCTTCTCGGACAAATCACCTTCTTACCTGTTGGTGATTTCACAAACGTGATGGAATGAGCAGAAGAGGTAAAACAAGATGCCACACAGACCAGACCCATTTGTTTCTCATGGATAGCTCTGGTTGCCTGATGGAGACTCGGTAGGATGTTGAAACTGTGGTCAACTATGTAACTAAAAGGAAGCTCTTAGATATTAGACTACAATAAAATTTTGCTTTACCCTATTCCCATCCCCTTATAGAAAGAGTTGTATGTCACTAAATGCAGTGTTTTATCCTCCCTCTCTTTATCTAGCCATGAGGCCAGGAGGGGCTAAAGGTGCTACTGAGATGTAAGCAAGAGATGGTGGACTGAACCAGACATGTGATGACTGCCATTCCCTCTAGGGGTCTTAGGAACCCCAATATTTTCAAAGGAGAGATTCCAAACTATAAAACAGGAATCTATATTTTCTGTCTTATAAGATGTACATATATTTAAGATACACGACAATTTTACAAAAGAAAATTTAAAGTATTTTTCATCAGATACGTATAAAGGTAATTTTAGAGTGGCTTCACATTCACTCTTTAAATAAATATTTATCGAGCATGTACTGTGTACAGGCAGTTTTGTATGCTGGGGATATAACAGTGAACAAGGTCTTATGTATCAGAGAGCTTTCATATGAAAGGGAAGGAGACTTGAAATACACAAGTAATCAAATGCATATACAATATTTTAAGTGGTGATTAGTGTTATGAGAGAAAGTAAAGCTAAGACAATGGTGGGGCTGGGTAGGTTGGCTATTTTAGATAACGTAATGGGGGAGATTTCAGAGGATGTGATATTTTAGCAGAGACTTTAATGAAGTCAGAATGGATCATGTAGAGGTCTGGGGGAAGATAAACTCTGGTAGAAGAAACAGCAGGTGAAAAGCCCTGAAGGTGGGACTATGTTTGGTATGTTTAAGGAATAGCAAGAAGGACAGTGTAGCTGGATCCTAAGGAGCAAAGGAGAGAAGGTAGGAGTTAAGATCACAGAGGTAGGCATGGGCTAGATCATATAGGGTCTTCTAGACCATAGTAAGGGGGTTACTTATTATTCTATGTATGATGGAAATCCATTGGAGGATTTAGAGCAAAGGAGTGACATAATATTAATTATATTTTTAAAAGACCAATCTGACTTCCATGTGGAGCATAGACTGTAGGGGGAGAAAGATGAAGCAGGGAGTTCACTTAGGAGGCTTTTGTCTTAGTCTGGGTGAAAGGAGTTGATAAACTGGAGTAAGGTAGTAATTGTGGAGTAGTAAGTGGAAACCCTGGTGGTGTAGTGAGTAAGAGCCACGGCTGCTAGCTGAAAGGTTGGAAGTTTGAACCCACCAGGCGCTCCTTGGAAACTCTATGGGGCTGTTCTACTCTGTCCTATAGGGTATCTGTGAGTTGGAATTGACTCAGCTGCAATGGGTAGTAAGTGGTAGGATTGGGGATATATTTTGAACACAGACTGGGAAAACTTGCTGATAGATTAGATATGGGTATGTGGTAGCCAGCCTTCAAGATAGCACCCAACAATCCTGCCTCATGGTTAACGTCCTTGTACAGTCCTTTCTATACATGAAGATGGTGCAGGGCTGGGCAACATTTCGTTCTGTGATACATAAGGTTGCTGTGAGTTGGAGCCAACTCGATGGCAACTAACAACACCAATAACAACAAAGTCTTCTCTCACACTGAATAAGGCTGTCTCATGTAACTAACAGGATACTGTGGAAATGATAGAGTATGACCTCTGAGGCTAAGTCATAAAAGACATGTACCTCCTGCTTTGCTCCCTCTTGTGTTGCTTGCTTTGCGGAAAGCCAGCTTTCACGTCATGAGGACATTCAAGTAGCCAAATGAAGCAGTCCATGTGATGAAGAGCTGAGGCCTCTTGTCAACAACCAGTACTAACTTGCCAGGCATGTAAATGAGCTACTTTGAAAGAAGATCCTCCACCCCAGTTAAGTCTTCAGATAATTCTACCCCTGGTCAACATCTTTAGTACAACCTCATGATAGACCTTAAACCATGCAGGTAATCTGCACCTGAATTCCTGACCCACAGAAACTGTGAGAGATAATAAATGTTTATTATTGTTTTAAGATAAAAAAAAAATGACTTTAAGGTTTTGGTCTAAGCAGTTGGGTGAACAATGGTGCCATTTACAGAGAGGTGGAAGATAGAGCAAGGAGAGGGTATGAGGGAGAAAATGAAGAGTTCTTGTTTGGACATGCTACATTTGTGCTATTAGACATCGAGGTGGAAATTTTGAGTAAATAGTTGAATATATGAGTTCAAAGTTCAGCAGAGAAGTTGGGACTACTGATACATATTTGGGGACCACAACATATCTGTGACCTTTGAAGCCATGACAGTAGATAAGATACCACATACATATAAGAAAGGATATCTGAGGAGTGAATGCTGTAGACTGAACATTTAGAGGTCAAGAAGATGGGGAGTAGCCAGAACAAGAGACTTAGAAAGAGTGGTCAGTGAGAAAAGAGAAAGTCCAGGAGAACTCAATATTCTGGAATCCAGGTGAAGAAGGTGTTTCAAGAAGGAGTGTGATCACCTGGATCAAAAGCCACTGGAAGTCAAGAGGAAGTCTGAGGTTTGACCCTTGGTTTTGGCAAGATGGAGGTACTGCTGACTTTGACAAGTTTGACAAGTCTTGATTGTACATTTAATGTTATAATCATGATCCCACAGTAATAGTCCCATTACAAATGATTTGAAAAGTGTAGTTTTTAGTGGAATGATGAGGAGGAGTGCCTGACTGATGTGGATAGAGGAGCCCATGGAAGGGGAGATGGAGACATTGAGTATAGGCAACTCTTTCAACAAATTTTGCTCTAAAGAGGAGTAAAGTAAGGGACAGTACCTAGAGGGGAAAGTGGTGTCAAGGGAGAGATTTTAACTTAAATAGTAGGCATTATAGAATGTTTGGAGTCCCTGGGTGGGATCGCCATGAGTCAGAATCTACTCGAAGGCAACTAACAACAACAACAACATAGCAAGTTTATATGCTAATGGGAATGAGTTTTCAGCAGAAAGGGAAAAGAGAGATGATACAGGAGAGAGAAGGGGAATATAGCTGTTGGGTCAAAGTCTTGAGTAACTGAGAGGGATGGTCTTCAGTGCACAAGGGAAGAGGTTGGTATTAGGTAGGAGTGTGGTCCTCCATCTGTTCTAACATGAGGGAAGGCTGAGCACATGAGTACAGCACAAGTGGTTAGATGAGTTCATCCTAAGAAGAGGAGGGGGAAGTATAATATTTTCTTTATACAAATGGAGTATCCTGAACACATGAGAAAGTTACTTACGAGTTTCAGATATCAGTAATATTCTACTAACTAAAAAAAAAGAGCAAACTCATAAAGCTAAAAGAGAAATATTTATACCATTAAAAAGTGATAATAGACGTTACAATAGTAATACATTTAATTCTAAATATTAGGCATATAACCAAAACTCTGTTTGTATTTTTCCTAAGGAAACCACCATAGAATATGAAACGTATCTTTGCTGTGATGTTTTGTATTGTGGCATTTTATCACCAGGGAGCAGAATCATCCATTGTTTTACTTCTGTGGCACTTGATTTCCATCTATAGTATGGGTACATTGGAAAGCAGGCTTATTTTTGGACAGTTTGTTTTTTTTCCCAGGAGTGGAAGAGGGTTATGACATCCTTCAGAGAATATAGCAGCTTCCATTGTTGACTGCCTTCTGTGTTCAGCCTATGTGGGACATATTTGATATGTGTCATCTTTAAGCTTCACAATAACTCAGCAGAGATAGATGTGATTATCCTCATTTTTCAGATGAGAAGACTGAGGATAAGGGAAGGTTAAGACACTTGTACAAATTCATACAGATAGAAATGCCTGAATTTATTGTTAGAGTGAGATAGATGCTATGGCCAATATCCAGGTGAGGAGGTAAACTCCCGTTAGCAGGTGGCTGGCCCAATCCTTACCGAAGCCTCCTTGGTGTTAGTCTCCTCTGATGCTGACTTGGCGACCTTCTGAATGATGGGGGCGATGTTGGTGGGCCCGTAGAGTTGTAGCTTAGGAAGGCAGCTCTGATAGGCTTCCACAACTCCTTGAATTCCTAAGATGAAGTTGGTAAAGATCAACAGTCTCCTCAAATATATTTGTAATCAAATACTCACAAACATAAAGCATTAACTTCCCTCAAAAAGCTCTTATCAACATCACATTTATGTTCTTGAGAAAAATAGAAAATACCACATTGCTGGTGTTGCTGCCTCTTCTCCTTCTGAAACCATTCTCCTCTCTAAAGTCTCAAGTCAAATGTAACCATTTCCACAAACTTTTCTCTAATATTCCACTTTACACGTAAGATTTCATTAGATCCTCATCCCGTTGCCCATTGCTGTCAAGTCGATTCTGATTCATAGCGACCCTATAGGACAGAGTAGAACTGTCCCATAGGGTTTCTAAGGCTGTAATCTTTTCAGAAGCAGACTGTCAGATCTTTTTCCCATGGAGCAGCTCGTGGGTTCGAACCCACCAGTTAGCAGCCAACTGCTTAACCACTGTACCACCAGGGCTCCTCAGATCCTCATAGTATAATGAAATAGGCGCTATACCCATCTTATAGGTGAAGAAACTGAGGTTTAGAGAGATTAAATAATCTGCCCCAGGCCACACAGCAAGTGAGTGATCAATTCAGGATTTAAACCCAGGTCTGTCTGGTTCTAAGAACTGTGTTCTCAGCCACTAGGCAAGTCTGCTTTAATGCTCCTCTAGTTTTCACATGACTTTATTGAGTCTAGTACATATCACCGTGGTCCACCTATAAGAGTTATGTGTACACACAGCTATCTCCCCAGATGGCAAACTCCTTGAGGGCAGGAATCATGATTTATTCAATTTTGTTTTCCCCCAAAGAGCTTGAGGCAGTGTCTGCACATGGCAGATGCTCATCAAGTATGTGATGAATGAGCAAAGCGGCTGATACACTCATCTACTGGACAGTAGTGTAGACGTATAACATACATCATTACTGCCAACCCCAAGGGGCTTCCATCCTGGGTCACATGAGCCAAGGAAAGTGTAAAAGATGGACTCTGCTGGGAGAGACAGCCCACTGCCTGTGTAGCTTCTCCCAGCATTTGATGCATCTTGACAGCCCATTCAATATTAAAATCAAGATCCCACAATATTAGTTCTATTACAAATTATTTTTATTCAAATGGCTCCTCTTTGTGCCTGTGCCTGTGTTACCTTTGCCTTCATGTTTCAGCTCATCCTCCTATCCCTCTCTATTCTGACACAACATACTGGTCCTGTTTTTGACCAGAGGGGTCTACACAAGCCCCTCCTGAGATTGTTCCCATACCCACCATATACAGCAAACTAGCTCTTGTGTATTTTGGATGAATAAGTTTGGTTCTGTTCTGTCCTTACACCCATGCCTCCATATCATTGAAATCCTGCATCTACTTTGCCCTGCCCTAAAGCCATTCTAAAGATAGATACCAAATCATTATGGGAACTGATTCTGGAGTTAAGTGATACTGGGTGGAAGCTCCTTATCTTCTGAGGTCCTTGAGTTTTTGCCTAAGATAAATAAGTTTGATTTCCCTTTCAAAAGTATCACGCTAATGAATTCCAGCAGTATAAAACAGATGAACATTAGGGTACGTATTTTATTTTGCTTTGGTAGAAAACCACTCTTATAGTTTAAGAATGAAGGTGGTTTGGGAGGAGACACGTCTAAACCATTATAAATTAGCGGTTAGGGATTGTGGGAGGGAATAATGGCAGAATGGGGGTTGGGTCTTAGAGGTTGCTACGTACAGACTCAATGCTTTTGATATCCTATCCTGGACATTAAGTGCCAAGTTTGTGGAAGAAACTGCTAGATGCTCTGCATATCCCATTGGGTCTGCCTTGATAAGAAGGAGGAGAGAGATATCAATATTTCTTCCTACTCCATTGTAAACATGTCTTAAGGTCTTCTAGCAACAAATGTACTTTGCTCTATTTATTATGTAGAAATCAGGAAAATTAATTAAAGAATAAAATTTATCAACATAATCATCATCATTATTTTGTAGAATTGTGTTAGAGAACTTCTGCCTGGAAATGATGAACATAGAACGTCTTTAAAAAGGCTATTTCTGGAAAAAAACCAAGAAGCTACTTGTTCAAGGTCACTGAGAGCATGTCGTTTGCTGACATGCTGAAAAGGTCAAATGATTTTCATGTTTCCTCATCTCCTTATGCCTGCATAGAGAGGGAATTATTAAAAATAAATACTTGATGAAAACTTGGAAAGCAAACAAGGGCTATCTGGTCACTGCCTATGAGATGAACTTCCCCCCATATTATTTTGGCCATAGGAATCCAGGATTGGGATCAATATTCTTGCTGTAAGCTCAAGATCTCTTCTGTGTTCTGTCTTGTCCAGATCTTATTTTTCTGCTCTATTATTATGGCGCTCTTTGTTGCCTTTGGAGTAGTATGGCTTATTTGGATCCAGACAGCCAACTTCTTTGCTGCGGACAATCATAACTGATATGCTGCATCAAAGGAGAGAGACTAAAATGGGAAAGGTGCAAACAGAACTGTAAGACACCAGCTTTCTTTTAAGTTGTGATTTACCTGCACATTCCGGGTTGTCTTCGTTAAAGTTGATGGCAAAGTCATGAGAGACCTAGACACCGATTAAAATTTTAAAAAGAAGAAAGGAGAATTACAACTTTAATACAGTAAGGAGGCACTAGGATTTAGAGTGTACAAACAAATGCCCATTACATTCATTATGTGTTAAACAGCAGGAACAATTTTAAGCCTTTACACAACGAATCTGAGATGGATGGTGAATTCTAAGCTCCCTGTGGAGTTGAGGTGACGGAAAGATTTTCTAGAATCAGATAAATGTTGGCAGGAGGGAAGAATAAGGCATATAAAAATATCCAAGGAAATATTTCATAAAAATGTAACTCCAAATAGCGCCCAGATACTGGAGGCTTAGATTTGCCTGGATTCTATTTGGACCATTTGATAAAAAAAGAACAGACAAATAAACAATAACAACCACAAAAAACTCAATAACCCAAGCTGTCTTCTCAACATGGTGATAGTTATAAAGGTTCCAGCTAAGCTGTTGACATTTAAGGATCATTCTGACATGATATGTAGAACTACAAGGCAAGGGGTTTTTCACATATTTACAGGTAAAATAACTGTGCTCTACTTTTGGAAAAGTAATAAAGTAATATACTTTGTAATCTTCCAACACAAATTCCTCTACCTGGCAGCACCTATGAGCAAGGTCAAATAACATATTTTTCATTTTTCTCTTTCTAAAACTTGATAAAATAAGAGGGCTATTCTGGCATTTGAAATTTTGTGGAGAATTCCATTTCAAAGGCTATTTCCAAGTACTGACTCCCTTGGGGACTAGAAAATAGGTCACTGTGTTAGAAGACCCTTCTTTTCTTTGTAGGAGGTAATAGCTGATGCTGTTGGGGCCTAGCCCATATCCTGTTGTCCTTAGCACTTCCAAGCAAGTCAGCTGACTTCCAACTGTAGGATTTCTTTGCCGTAGGGCTTTCTGTGGCCTCTGGAACCTGCTTTGCCAAAGTGACAGACCAAAAGTGTTGGGGAATTAAAGTTCCCTAAGAGCAGCCTTTGAGCCCTTGTGGCACAGTGGTTAAGAGCTGCGGCTGCTAACCAAAAGGTCAGCAGTTTGAATCTACTAGCTGCTCCTTAGAAACCCTATGGGGCAGTTCTACTCTGTCCTATAGGGTTGCTACGAGTAGGAACCAACTCAATGGCAGTACGTTTGGTTTTTGGTATGGGAGCAGCTTTAATCAAGGGTTAGCAGGAGCTGATGTATAAATGCCTCAGCTCCAGTATGCCTTGGGGTCTGTGTATGCTCTACTCTGTCTCCCAGGGCTCCCCAGCAGGATTAAGCTCCAGTTGCCCATAGTGGTAACTTACTTGAGAATATACCTTTGTTGACTTCCTTCACTGTTTCCCCACTCTTTATTGATGTTTCCTCTACCTCCAAATAAACGATTTGCATCCAAATCCTTGTCTCAAAGTCTGTTACTGGGGGAGTGCAAATTAGAGAGACATGCTTGTGTCTGAGTCTCAGTGCATACTCTAAGATTACGTCCTAAGGAAGTAAATCATGGTGACCTTCTAAACTCTCTGGGCTGCCTGAGCTACTAAGACCATCAGTGCTTGGCTGGGGCAGAGGGGGGATTAGGCATGGAAAAGGGATATTAGAATGGCTTTTTGGTACTAGAGTTGGGAAAATATGAAAGATGCTTGTTAGGACAGCAGGAAGAGCAAGTTAGCTGACAGGCAGGGTAGAGCTAAGGAATCAGGTGAACCTGAGGACATCAGGAACAGCAAGAAGGATAAGTTACTCTAGGCAGGGAACCAGAGCAGATGTCAAGGATGAGAAGGAGGCCTGGAACAAGGCCTGCTGCAAAGCTCTGTCCTCAGCCCTGCTGGGCCAAGTCAAGGCCAGAAGACTGCCTGGTGGAGATGTGGTGGAGAACACTCAAGCATCTCTGGGTAGTTGGACTGATGGTTGTCGAGGTGTATTCCAGCTTTAAGGTTTAGCAGCCCCGTGAAGAAGGTGGGCAGCCACCTGCCCACATTCTGCAGCTGATAGCCCAACTGAAGAAGACTGGCTGTCCTCAGATCTGGGCTCATTCTTATATGTGTCATCTTTTAATCTTAGTGCTACCTGGCCTTTCAGTTTTTTGATAGAAGCCAGAAATCTGACATTGTATATGAAATTTCCCAATTCTTAAAAAATTTGTGTGTCAGATAGAACATGTGTATGGGCTGATTACTGTCTACAGGCTAGTTGTTGACAATTCCTGTTCTATAATCTTTCTCCCCATGTGCTCTATTTCTAACAAATGCTTCTAGAATTCTATAGCCATGTCCAGCAGGAAGGCTAGTATTGAATACAAGGCAAATAAGAAAGGGGTAGGTCAGGAAGACATAGCAGTCCATCAGCTGCTCAGCCCAGTACTGACAGGGCGATCAATTCCCTCTTTCACAAAGGACACTGGAGGGGAACGTCTGATGGCTCTGGTGAAGAAGCGAATGTTGGTGTCTGTTTCCTGACCTGTAGTTCAGATGCAGTCCATAAAAGAGAAATTGATGACTGGGCTGCTTGTTCTTAGCTCAGGCCTCAGAGAATGTATTGGTCAAGCCAAGGCTGGGGCAAGGTCCCTGCTGCCTCTTCAAGACCCTGCCCACCTCGGGGAGCTGAGTTCCCTGGTGGAGAGTGGCCCACAGCAACACCTGAGTATACCACAGCAGAATGCCTCAGCTCTACCGCTGCACAAATCTCTCTACATGCAAGCTTTGCCTTCCGTGAGTCATGAAAAATCGGTATTGAAACCAAATAGGATTCCAATGTCTTTGTAAAAACCTTTCAGCTTCCCCATTCTCTAAGCCAGAGTGGTTCCTTCTTTGGAACTTCTCTGAGTATCCCACACAAGGCTGGATCTCAGAGTCTTGGGATAAAAGAATCTGTCGACTTCACTGTATGGACTTTGAGTTTTTTTTCTTAAGGGAGATCTGAATAGATAGGTTCTCAGTCACTGGAAATCAGTTTCCTAAGTGTTTGCTCTGTCTCTGATCACGTCTATCAGAAGCTAGACAATGGAATCCTTCATTTGGGCCTCTGAAAAGACCTACCTAGAATAGCAGGAGACTGGGTTTTGTCAAGAGACAGGCTCTGAGGAGATAATCTGCAGGCTGTTTTGGACTGTCTGTACCCCATTTACATAGTTTATATCAAGTACCAACAGTGAGACTCCTGTAAAGTAAACACAAAGTGTCCTTGGGCTACAGCAAGGTAAAAGAAGATCCCATCCCCACTCACTCACCGTGTACTCTGGGGGTATCCTGGCTCCAAATCCAAAGGCTGGGAACATTTTGTCACTGAAATCAAAATTAAAAAAAAAGAAGAAGAAATTGCTTCATTTGTTCATCTAATGAGGAAGAAAAATATGAACCTTCATTACCTCTCTGGAACAAATCATGGCGCTATGTCAAATGCTGACTCATGCTTCCTGATTATCTGTGGTAATGGGGGATAGCAATAGCATGGGTGATTAAAATCAAGAAATAACCCCCAAAGTTTGTTAGTCATTAGTCTGCAACTTCTTCCCTTAACTTTTTTTCGAGATTTGATACGAAAGAATAAAATGGCCCCAAGGGTTTTCCCCCACCACAGCTTTCTGTCTCCCTTGAAAAGTGATTGTCAATTAGATAACTCTTGTGGTTGATTGTGTTAGGGTTCTTCATATATATTATCTTTTAAAATCTTTATAGGAAGAGATTATTATTCTCATTTTACAGGTGGGCAAACTGAGGCCTTGAGAGGTGACTGGCCCAAGATCACACTACTAGTTAGTGCCAGGGTTCAAATCCAGACTAACCTGAATCCAAAGCACTGTCAAAAAGCAGTGGAAGGTATTTGCCTGCTAACTGAAAGGTTGGCGGTTCAAACCTCCAGCCACTCTGTGGGAGAAAGATGTGGCAGTCTGCTTCTGTAAAGACTTATAGTCTTGGAAACCCTATGGGGCTGGTTTACTCTGTACTAGAGGGTCGCTATAAATTGGAATTGACTCAATAGCAATGGGTAATGATAGAGCTTGGTCCCATTTCCAGGACTCACTGTGTCCAGCATCTTATCACATATCTGCAGCAATAAATTATTTACATGTCTGTTGTTAGTTCCTGAAGTCCAAGGAACTCTGTCTTTTGTTTTGATATCTTTACATCTCCACCTTCACCCCCGTTCCCAGTAGTTGCCCTTGTCCCCACTGTCGGCATATACTCACCACAGAGCATGTGCTCAGTAAATATTTAATGAATGGATAACCTATAAATTGAATCATTGAAATGTGACTATATAAAGAAGGGAGAATTCTTGTGAAAACTCATAAGAGTCACACACATGTCCTTTGGCTTGGTTTCTCCTATGCATATTGGAATTTTTTCCCTAAATTTATTCATTCAAATTAAATTTGTATCTTAATTCTAATTTGTACTGTACTATAGATGAGAGTATGGGGAGGAGGTGAACTATCATTTACTGGCACATACAATATGCCAGATGTTATGCTAGGTGACTTACACACTTAGCTCATTTAATTCTCACGCAATCCTTGAAGTACCACCTGCTTATTAGTCCTATTTTACAGATGAATAAACTGAGTCTCAGAAAGGCTAAATAAGCGGCCTAAGGTGATTAAGTGGAGGATTATGTGGTTCCAAAACCCAAGCCTTTTCAACTCTACCACCATAATATAATGTTTATATATGATTTTAAATATGATTGCCTTCTAGCACTTCTAGTAACTGTGCCCTTTGACTAGGCAACAAACAAGACCCTTCTTAAGCAGATTTTGTGCTATCATGGGGGCGGGGGTGGTGGTATTGCAATGTGGCTCTGGAGTATTGCTTTCACCTGAGGGCATGTCCTTCTCATGCCATCTGCCTTCCACTCCCTTTACCATTAAGAACACAATTGAGATATGCTCTGGGAAGCACTCCTATATTTTTCAGTTCTTTGCAGAGTTCATCAAGGAGAAAAGGGAATTCAGATTAGGCTTCTCTGTCCCTGAACATCTTCTGTAAGCAAAAGGAGGCCTTTCGGACTAGCTGAGAAATCAGAGTAGCAAAAGTACATTCTCACCCAGCACAGACGTGGGTCTCTGATTACATGAAATGTTCTATAATAGAATGGCTCGTCTGTCTGCTATCTAGAGAGTATACATATTGAACCCATTGCCCTGAAGAACAAACCGCCATTTTACAGACTTGGCCACCCCAGAAGGAG